CTCGCCACCGGCTTTACCTTCAGCATCCTCTTACCTTCTCCTATCCCAGAGTTCAGCAGCACTCCCCACGAGAACCACATGGCCGAGGACAGGGTGAGGGCGTCTTCCTCTTCTTCTTCGCTGTTCACTTTGAACCTTCCGAACGGGCTGCACACACACAGCTGTGTTAGACTTCACAGCTACATCACAGGTAAAAGTCCAATCCTGATTTTGACCTTTGACAAAATCAGGATTGGACTTTAAGTGTCTCCCTGGGCACAGACTGGGAAAAAAAACCCTCGTTGTCATTCTTCTGTACGGCTGCTCTCAAGCCCCGCCCACCGCCGTAATGTAGCCCCGCCTACACCCGTCCCATGTATGTACGTTTCACGTGCGGTAACAGACCAAATGAAGCGCTCATTAGGAATGGCTGTTTTTGTTGAAAGCCAATACGCCATTTTTACCGTCTCACCCCTGTGACCAGGGGCTTGAACGTGCGACCGAACACGTGGATGAGCTAATAACACGTTTTGTGGAGTTTGGGATTTCTGCTGCTGTTTTAAAACATGAGTCTACAGCTGAGTGACTCCTTGGAGGGCGGGGGCGTGGTCTGAGGCGTGGTGTTGGTTTACCTGAACCGGTCTAGTAGGTAAAGCATCACTGCCACCACATGGACCGACAGACCAACTAACAGCCACAGCGTGCTCTGGAACGGCTGCATGAACGAGTCCAGAGTGCTGCGAGGGATTTCCTGTGAACACACACACACGTCATTAGTTTTATTTCCAACATTATCTGAGACAGTTTGGAGCAGGAATCTTTTATCAGCTGTTTGAACTCTTTTAGCTCCGCCTCCTTAAAGCCAGCTCCTTCCTGATTGGTCACCATTACCTTTAATGTTCATGTGTCTTAATCTGTTCCAGACTCTTTGAGCTGCTCTCTTACTGATGAAGATTATTTTTAATGAATGAACTAATTAAAGTTTTGTCCGGCTTGGCTCGCAGCGTGAGAACGAGAAACCTGGGTAGTTCGCACGCTGATGGGCGGGGCCTACAGCTCTGCTTTCACAAATGTCCATGCAGCACCTCCTCGCTTCAGCCAATCATCACTCACTTCACTTCAGCTTCTCTCACAGTAACAATCAGCGCTGAGCTTTCAGCCACATGCCCAACAAGTCCGGAGATGGGAGCGAGTACGACTCCTCAACACGAACTTTGCTGAGAACAGTTTGTCCCTCGTCCTCCATCTTCACCTGGCCCCAGGTGTCTGCAGGCTGAGCGGCTGATGACCCCCCCACACTAGCAGGGGCTCCCAAGAGCCTGTGAAAGTGACGTGCTCTGTTATCTCCATGTCGGTGTCGCTTACATCACAACTTGCCAATCACATTGTCGGATCATTCAGTTAGCATTAGCCAAGAAGTTAGCTAACACTATATAAAAGCATCACCAGCAAAGTGAAACGTGGCTAACAGCAAACCTAACGCGATAATAGCTTTGCCTGAATTAATCGCTTACGATTTCTTCTAGAAGACAAAGGCATTTGTGTCTTTTTTGCTATCTCTCCCGGGCTATGACATCACAGTCATGTGATTGGTCAGTTGAGCCTGGGTGAGGGATGCCGTAGGGACAGCACCACAAGCTCGTGTGCATGAACACCGGAACTGTTTAACTAACATGGACTGCACAACATCGCCGTTTCCCTGTGACGAAACGTAACCTCGGTTCTCTGCTGCTCTCACGCTGGCTCAGGCTGAGCATCACCGCTTTGTTGTGTCGTGACAGCGTCACATCATGAACCTTCATCGTGGTATACACTTCCTCGCTCGCTCACCTTCTTGACGAGGATGGTGAGCCCCTGGTATTTGAAGGGTTTGGAGAACTCGATGTACTGAGCGCGCTCGTTGTTGATGGTGAGCGGGGCGACGATCATGTCAGCGAGGCCTCCCAGCAGCTCCCCCATCATCCCGTTCCACTCCTTCTTGTTGCTGTTGTTCACCTGTGGGAGGGAGGGAGGGCGGAGCTCTGTTAATGAAGGTTTGAGTTCCTTTTACATCGTTCATTCATGACCTCACTGCAGCAGGTTAAAGGGTTAAATATCTGCAAACCCACATCAGCTACAACAAACACTGTAAGGTGTGCTCAGCAGCTCCAGCCTGATCACGTTATTGATTACTGATGAGCCAATCTGCTGGGAGGAGCACAGCGAATCCCTGATTGGCAGGTTTGAAGTTTCTGGCTTTAAATAATAAAGGAGGATCAGATTTGTCTGAAGCGGCTGCATTTTTAAAGGTTGAGCTCAGATTGAATAAAACATGAAGGAGAACAAGATGCTTTCATGTGATCGACTAAACAGGAAACATCATCCTTCAGGAGCTGGGTATACGAGGAACATAAAGCAGATTTCAGGCGTGAATAATCTGTGAAGAGACGAGAGAGGAGGAAGAGGAGGGGGGGGAGGAGGGGGGGGATCCAGAGCACAGAGGCGGCGATGAAGGAGAGCGCGCAGCAGAGAGAGAGATGAA